TTCCCACTTTTTCGCAATGATGGAGTTTCATGTCTTGCCTTTTTTGGAAAATTCATCCCGGTTTGGTTTAATTTTTTGATTTTATCATCCCTTCATCTGGTCTGCCGATCGCCGGCACCCTGCCCGCTACCTCGCGGCTCTGCCTCTGCTCACCACGCTCTGTGCCTCTTTAATAACTCTGCGCACATTCTCAAGCACATCTCCTTCTGTGATGTCTATCGGTGTTGACGGTGCCTCTGAACCTTCCTTTTTATACTCTCGGAGTAACTCACCTCTGATTCCGCCGCGCGTGCCGCGGGCACAAACTAAGCCACTTCAACTAACTGGTTGCTTCCCCGCTGCTCATAACTCCACCTACTTCATCACAGTCGGCAGTGGGGCCTTTGGCAACCACTCTATCTTTGTTCTGTGATATCTCGCCCCATTCGCCGTGGAATTGCCCAGGCATCTCGGCTGTGAATGGGGGGGCGCTCCAGCCAGCCAGTTTACTGGGGTATCGTGTTTGGCTCGGTGATCGTCCAATGCTTGATGGTTTTTGACAGATCACACTCGACCTTTGTCTGGTGCATGTTAATACTTCCGTCTCTTGAGTCCGCTCATACCCTTTTAGCTCCGTTGTTTGTGAGATCTACTTCTTACAGGTATCAGTGCTCTCCATGTGCGTGCCCTCATCTCCATTATACTCGCTCTCAGTTAAATTTCCTCTTCCTCTAGCTCTTGTTGGTCCATCCCTGGTTGTACCGGGTGATTCACGCAAGTGCTACTTCATATCCTGTTACTTCCCATACTAACCACTCTGCCCTTGCTTGTTTACCATTTTCTTTCAACTTCGAGCTTAAATTTAGAAACTGTGAATGCTTGCACTACTGTTTTTTCCCTGGTTTTTGCAAACCGTAAGGCGAGCCCACATCCCCCATTTGTAAGAGGGTTGTTATCATGATCCGACCACTTTAACCATTACGCCAAAACAGCACTATAAACACAGATTATGTGTTCACGGTTCGGATCATATATAAGCACATCGGTGATATGTGGTAAGGTGGTGGCGCCAGCCTTACACCATCACCATCCTCTATTTGTGACTCTCCCGTGTATACCCAGAATCTTATTGATTCCCCCCCCCCTTTCATCTTTGCCCATATTGATTCTCTGCCCTCGATCGAGTTCGCACCTCTTACTTCGCTCGATATCCCCACCCTTTCTTCTTCTCCAACCAGGCCCACATCTCATCGCACTTCTACTGCAAGTTCTTCCAGCTCATCTGTTGAGATTAAGCGGAGAAGAGAAGAGGATCAGGAGGAATAGAGGAAGGTTTGCAATCGAGCTGTTGGGTTAGAAGGCTCTCGTTAGGGCAAACGGATGCCCAGCGAGTAGCTACATTGCTTGCTTATATACCTACAGTGTAGCTACTAGAATATTCTACAGGGTTCGACTTATGCTACTAAATATAGAAAAGAAATAACTAGAATGTTCATGCACAGACTCGCTGCTACGCATTCCTTCAACATCATCCATTTGGAGGGCCACGGCTGAAAAATCCCATTGATGCCAAATCCTCCCTTTTATCAAGACTTGCCGGCTTTCATCAGTAGCGCCACAGACGGGAGGTTGAGCCCCCAGTGGTTGGCCTTCTTGAAACTACCTCAGATGGCAAACAACCTTACCGGCTACCGCATTGTCTGTAGATCCATGAACAGGGACTCCAGCAAGGTTATTTACATCCCCGGGAATGTATACTGAAGTGCCTAAGGATACTGTGTACCAGATGGCCAGTTGCTGCTCGGAGCTGATACATTCTGAGCAGAAGGCGGAATGCTTAAAAGGAGGGTTAATCACTCAACCGCCCAGGTAAGCCACTAAGGATGCAGTGATATTCACGTACTGACATTACCTTATCCGCACAAGGTAAGCTGAAGAATGTGCATTGCAAGCTGGCAGATGTCATGCTACAAACCGCAACATTTATGACTAATTCAAGGGCTTATATATCGCTTCAGCTTGCCATCACCGCCAAAGAGCTAAAAATCGGTACACTTCTCCTTGCTTGTTGCCGCACAACACTGACTCCTTCCTCTCAGGAGTCTGTCCGAATCCCCAGCTTCGTGGAGTGTTCGGTTTGCAAGTGTTCGACATCCAAACCCTTTATGTAGGTGTGCGGGCTCGGTTGATGAAATTGACAGCTCACCAAACACCAGACTTCCAAATTGCGGGCAATCCATCTGCAAGGTGTGTTTACAATAATGAACGGACTCGGAGTGGCTTGGTAAGTAGAACACAACAAATATTTGTGTTGAAGTGTCGGTAGGCAGTGAAAAGCAGGAATGCCAAAATGTGTGCGGGCTCGGTCAGACTGCGCCAAGGCTGGTTCCTTGCAGAGCCAATGTCAATTGATATGGCAGAGTCAACGATGAGAGGAGTCAGTCCCCGTGTTTCCCCATTTTTTAAATACAGAGGTTTGTAACCTCTGGGTCATTTAGAAGTAATGGTCTTGTACATCCAACCAACGCACGAGAGAAACTTAGATAGCGGGCATTGCCGCGCAGCGGGCTACTCATCTTATCCTAAATTAGCACTGTATCTGAAAGAGTCCGATTATTTTGACCGAGTGTTCAAGTGAAGCGTGATGCGGGCCTCTGAACTGAACACTTTGGGTACCAGTGACGGTGACGTTGGGTTTTGTGGCCCAAATAGGCTAAAAAACACCAAAAAAAATTGGTCCGGCGAATGCCATTTATGGTGATTATTGATGGGATTGGTCAGAATGAACACTCACACCGAGATTACGGAAATTTCGGGGCAGCCGAAGTTAGTTTCGATACGGCACGTGATCATTTTGGGCGCGCCAAAATGCATCGGCCTTCCCATATATAGCAAGCCCGAAGCATTTCGGGGCACCTGGAACGAACACGTGCCGTATCGAAAGTAACATCCGGTTCCCCGAAATTAATTCTACCTACCTACCTACCTGTAATCCCGGTGTGACTTGAAAAAGTGAACACCTTAGGTGACGCGTGACAGAGGCCGAACACTGTGTCGAAATAGTAGTACAGTACAGTATGTGCGGAAATCAGTGATGAGAAATGTGGTACTACCATATTTGGCAATTCACCCCTATTTCAGTCTATCGAGGTGCTCTGAGGCTAGTCAACCGGCCCAATGTGTCGCAGTTCTTTTGGACTATGTCTAGTAATACCATAGAATGTATCCCGCCTCATAAAAACCCTAAAACTCGCGAGGGGATCGAACTCTAGTGATGGCTGAAGTTCATTGTCACCTAACCTTTCAGCCTGGGGGTGCATTGCCGACCACCACATATGATATAGAGCGGGTGGTGGTGTGAAACCGAATGCTCCCCATGTACACATGAGTATATACAGAACAGAAATCCTTACTCTGAATTCAGCTCGCTCTTGTGTCCACAAATTACATAAGACAGACCGCCGTGCACTGTGCACCACACCCGATTCCTACCTAGTCGAATAGATGCTAATAGTGGTCTAGGGTGAATGAATTCACACCCGGTTCAAAAAAAGTCTAAGGGTACGAACCAGTTCCACAAATCCGGAGGTGCTTGGAGCTGGTCCGATGAAAGCGACTAGTTAATATGGGGCATAGGAGAAGGAGCATATAAGGGGGAGAAAAATAAACAGGAATCGAACCACAAAATATTCCAGGCTCGAATATGGAATATGTCAGGCGCGGGGAGTCGAACGCCGGACTGCAATTAGTTTAATCGGTGACTCGACACTCCCGAGCAAGACTGCCGTGCACCACACCCGATTCCTACCTCTAACACAGGGCTGAATATATGCAATGGTTTCCTGTGGGATGTTCGCAGGGGGCGACTGAATTATCAGCTGGTTTAACAAATCTCGAGGTGCTTGGTGCCGGTCTGATTAAATTCGGGTGCGCGCTGCAGAAGATGAACATTCAACACAGAGCAAGGAATCAATGGAAGGAAAGGAGTGAGCCCGAAAAACATCGAAGGATCTATCGACATTATAATGTCGGGTGCGAGGAGTCGAACCCCGGTCTGCAGATGCAAGGCAACGATTTATCCCCAAGGAAGACTGCCGTGCACCGTGCACTACGCCCGACTCTTACCTCCAATACATGATTCAATGAACCCACTAGAGGCAACTCATTCCCCACGAGCTTCATTTATTAGAGAGTTTGTCTATGAGAGACTCGATCAATTCTTGATTGAATCAGGATTCACAGGTTGAATCACGACCATGAGTCGAAGGCACCCGGCAGGTCCAGATTAAATCCAGGCAAGCCTGTGGATCTTCAACGAGCGCAGAAGGGAGCGAAGTGAGAAAAATAGGATGTACATTTCGGGCGCGGGTCTTCGGATTACAATCTTTATTGCTGTCAGGAAGCCGATGTAATGGAAGCCGCTGTGCACCGTGCACCACACCCGATTCCTGTATCCAATGCAGGGCTGAATGTCCTCGATGCTTTCCTTGAGATGAATCCACCTGTTGCGGAAAAAAAAATAGGATATCCTGCCCTACTTACTTGAACCAAATTCTCGAAGTGCCTTTCTGTATCTTAAATTCAAAGGAGGACTGTGGAGGAACTATGAGCCTCAGGAATGAGTACTACAGACGCATGAGAATAACGCCACCAAAAAAAAACACGGGTTTATGCTCAGTTCGGACGCGGGGAGTCGAACCCCGGTCTTCGGATTACGTAATCGAATCATCGGAAGCCGCTGTGCACCGTGCACCACGCCCGATTCCTACCTTCAGTTCGGAGTTGAATATATGACAATAGATTTCCTTGGGCTCACATACTCACTGGCACGCCATAGATGTAGAATAAATGCTTAGGTGACCGAACGGATCTGGAGTCTGTCTACATAAGTATCCGTCTGAATACAGTAAATTGGGCCGAACCTATAGAGAAAGATTTATGTAAAAGGGGTGTACGGAGCTTCGTAAGTAGGAGGGGGCGAAGGAATTATGAAACCAAAAAACCAAAAAACATCTTGAACAGTCGGGTGCGGGGAGTCGAACCCCGGTCTGCAGTTAGTACTTAAAATGTACCGTCTCAAAGAAGACTGCCGTGCACCGTGCACCACACCCGATTCCTAGCTCAAGTGCAGTGCTCAATATCCCCAGTGACCGTCTCTATGTCGCGTTCGCTCGGAAGGGAGGGATGAATTTCTGATGAACTGAACAGCTTTCCAAGTGAAGTTCAGAGTAAATCCATCCAATTCATCCGCCCCTGCCGAAGCATGAGCCTCAAGCAGAGCGCAGGCGGAGACAAACGAGAGGAGCGAGAGAAAAAAGAGCGACTACCTCAATAATTCGGGTGCGGGGAGTCGAACCCCGGCCTGCGGCATAGAATACCTCCCAGCTATGGTAATGGAAGCCGCTGTGCACCGTGCACCACACCCGATGCCTAGCTCTCATCCAGCGCTGAATATCCCGACTGTTCCCTGTGGTATGGTGAACTCCCTCACCGCACCGGCGGGCACAGCTGACCTCGGGGTTGACAGATTTGAAAGGAAAATGTTCCGCAGATTACATAAATTCTGCCGCACCTGTAGAGAAAGATTAAATTGGTGGATAAGCGCAGGAAGAGAAGCGAAAGACGAGGAGGACTCGGAATAACGTGGCAGAAAAAACTTTGTCGCTCTGGACAAGGTCGGGCGCGGGGAGTCGAACCCCGGTCTGCAATCGGTTTATGTAAACGAACACTCATACTCTCTCAAGGAAGACTGCCGTGCACCGTGCACCACGCCCGATTCTTGGCTCTAGTGTAGGGCTGAATATCCCATTGCCTTTTCTCTTCAAGTTGGTGGGACTCAACCACTGGGAGGCAATCTCCCAGCCAGGTCCAAAATCTCAAGGGGGTCCGAATTATTAGATATGGCTACGCTGCGGAAGAGGATCGAGCTATGAGCCTAGAATCTGGAGCGCGCAAGGAGGAAGTAACTGAAAGAAAAAGATCTCTGGGCCATTCGGGTGCGAGGAGTCGAACCCCGGCCTGCGACGTACATATATCGTTCTACTGCAACTGTTGAATGGAAGCCGCCGTGCACCGTGCACCACGCCCGATGCCCAGCTCTACTTCAAAGGTGAATATACCTAGCCTCTTCCGTCTTCCATCAGACGCGTCCCAAGTTTAAGCGACGCCCGATGCGAGATCAGGTGACCGCGCCGCCACGCACGCGATGTACTCGTGTTACGCCCGCACGGCGTCGACCTCATGGGCCCGCGTGGCGTCCTCGCCTTGCCGTCCGCTGCCCCAAAATCGCCTCCTCCCCTCCCTCCGTCCATGTTCCTATCCCCATCTCCATCCAAAACCCCGTCCCCCAGTGCGGCATTCCCGTCCCCTTCTTATTCTGTCTGTCTTGCTAACGACGGCGCGCAGGCCCGCGCCGCTGACGTTAACGAATATACCCTCCGCTCGATTCCATTCTAGGTTCTCATAACGACAGAGAGCGATTTGGAATTGGGGATGCCGCTGCTCCCGTTCCTCCCTCTGGGCCGCTCCCCATCGTCCTCCCTCGGCGTCGGCTGGCCGTCGCTGGCGCTGCTCCTCCCGCTGCTCGCGCTCCTCGCATACGTGTACCTCCCGTACGACGCCCTCCGCTCCCCCCTCGCCACCCTTCCCTTCTTAGCTCGCCTCTTCCCCGCCCTTCCCTTTCCATTCCGCGCATTCCCCTGCCTCCCGTCCCTCCGTCCATGTTCCCATCCCAATCCCACCGCGCCAATCCCCAGTCCCCGTACTATACTCTGTCCATCGTAGCTAACTAACGAACGCGCGTCGCGCAGGCCCGCGCCGCTAACGATTACCTCCGCGATATCCGCTTAATTCCAGTGCTAGGAAGTTGTAGTAATAACGACCCGTCTTGCAAATACCCCAGTCTCCTACCCAACCTCAGTTACGGGGTTGGGGACTCTGAGTAGTGGGATTAAGAGGAGGAGTAAGACGAAAAGACAAATCCATCAATGGCCCATCATTTGATCAATTCTAGAACACATTTTAGAGGGGTTGGGCTTGAGAGTTCGGAGTTTGAATTTTTGATGTGGATACATGATTACTATTCCATCACTACTGAGATTTCGCCGCTAATACCACCACTGAGATTCCCAACCCCGTAACCGAGGGTGGGTAGGAGACTGCAAATACCCGTCGCGCCTCCGCTGAGTCCCGGGCCCTTCCCCGGTTTTGGCTGGCCGTTGATCGCGCTCCTCCCGCTGCTGCGGATGAGCCAGCGCGCGCGCGAACTGTCCTTTCCCTCTTGCCGGTTTCTCTTCACGATCCACATATTTATGCTGAGGACTCAGGAGCGCAACTTGCAAAGGTTTCATTGAATGATTCAGGTGCCGGACCGGCCTCCAACGCTTGAGCTTGGGCGTCTACGGCTTCAACGGCTTAGCACAGCCTACGTGATATTATATCACCTGTCAGCTGCCACCTACCCGTGCACGAGCCCTTTCCCCCCGACCCCCACCCACGATGTCCTTCGCCTCGAATGTAGGCCATTTAAATCTCGGAGACGGCGTTTACAACAATGTCCATGGCAACTATATTGTCCACAACATTTTCTACGGGAGAAAGCGCCATCGCGAAGAGATCGACGGTCGGTTTTCCCTCGTTCTGCCGGAGAACAGTCATGTTGACCGTTCCTCTGCTCAGATGGACCAGGTTCGTTGTCGATCATGGAACCCACACCTAAGCGTCGCCGTAGGGAAGAGGACTCAGAGGATGGAATCAAGGTGTGGGAAGCCTGGCAACTCCGGAAGAGGCTGATCTTATACCAGGTACTCCGCAACAAAGATCTCAAACTCACTGCTGAGATTGGGAGTGGCCTCGGATACTTCCTCCACGCTGGCGAAATCAAGGGTCGGGCGGTGATTGTGAAGGTCTTCAATCCAGGTCCGAGTGTTCGAGAGGTATTCGATTGAAATCCTTTCTTTTCTCTTTCTCATACGACTCGAAGCATCTGGAATCTACGGTGGCTCTGTCGAAAGGATTCATGTGGGTACAATCCCTAATCCCTTTCTACCAACTGATATGTGTAGGCATCCAAACGTGCTCCGAATCGAAGGGGTTTCGTCGCCAGCGGCGTTAACTCACTTCATCGCTTATGAAAACGGTAGGCTATTCCAAGCAACTTTTAGACGGCTCGTAACTGAATGAATGCATTCTCATAGCCCATTGGAAGACTGCGGAAGGCCCGCTCGCGGCCGCGCTCAAGGAGGATCTCACGAGAAGCATCACTCTGGGGTTCAAAATGGTTCGTGAATGCCATCATTCGGCATTCCTTCGACTCAGGCAACCTGGCAGATCGCAGGACTTTCCGTACGTCTGCCACACTCATCCGGGTTATGTATTCAATGTTTCATCCAGTCTGGCATGAACCATCTCAGTGTTCAAGGCATATCGCTTGCTCCTCTCGGAGTAGAGGTACGCAGATACTCTATCTTCTTTGATCCCGATTTGTCTGATCAAGTACGCCAGAACTTTGACATTTTCCTCGATGTCAACGACCGCTTCTTAATTAGCATCAATCCACACATGTCGACAGCAGGGGATTCTGCCGACGACCCGGAGCCGGAATATCATACTCGCAAGTCTTGGGACGTCTTCAATGCTCTTTGCCAAAAGGTCCCATTAATTTCTCAAATCTGGATTACCCTAATAAAATATTCGTTTCTAGGTCTTACGGTCTGCCAATCGTGTGCTGCACAGTTAGTTGATATCGGTACAATGTCTTCATTTTCTTATACTTATACGCGCTGTAGACGAGGACATTCAGCGGAATCCCCTTATCCTGGACCTAACGCGCCGGCGCTCAGACCCTCAAATATCTTTGGGACTACCTTCTTCACCTTCGTCGCAATCTTTGCAGTTCTCTGAAGCTTCGTCGTCAGAAAACCCCTCGGTGAGACAGTCTCCAGTCCCGCCGCGACGCGAGTACGTGTGGCGAACGATAGAACGCGGACAACAGTCTTTAGCCACTGTTGGCAGTCGAATCGCCCTGGATCTTGACTTCAAGTTATTGTCCGTCAATAAATTTGCATGGACAGATGGCCGAAGTCCGCATCGTTGTGCTGGCTACGTCCGCGAAGAGATTACGCTGGCGACCAGGATGAACGACAGCGCTGTGGTATCCCATGATGTACCGAGCCCGCTGGAGATTTGCTCCGTGTGTCACGAGGTCGTTGGCGTTCAGGAGGAGTTTCGGTGCATATGTGGCGACACAAGTACGCAGGAATTACTTGATGGGCGCCTACCTATTAATTTGATTGTCTCAGATCCCGGTTCGCGTCCCACAGTCAAATGCCGGGAATGCAGAGCTTGGAGCCATAGTGATTGCATCGGGAATTCGAAGGAGTTCACCTGTCAATTCTGTATGACCAGGCACCGCGAAGAGCTGGGGCTCTTCTACACAGACCCACGGTCACGATCTAAACCCCTTCATGAGGAGAGGGTGGATGAGGACCCCCTACCCGCAAACGCACATATGGCATGGCCGGCACCGTCTTCCTCGCATTACAGTGCCGCAAAACAGGTGGCATCGAATGACGAGGCGGACACACCGTATATAGCACCGGTAGAAAGTTCCGCTGACGGTACTCCTGCCACACTGGAGGGGATCCCGGTCTCCCTCGCAAGCCGATGGCCACTCGTCCTCAACGATAATGACGAGGCACCGTTAGCAGTGAATGCCACCGGCGAGAAAATTATCGCATACAAACCCCGCCAGTACACCCTGACTGCGAGTCGTATCCGTAGGCGGTATGCAGATGCGACACAGCCGCAAAACTCATTTCATTCGAATTACGACGAGCAGCATGTACAGTTGACGCGGAAGCGGGAGGTCTGGAAGACACGAGCGCTGACGCTCCGCAGCCTGCTCCGAAGCCACGGAGTCCCTTGTCGCGAATTTCAGGACTACGCACATGCGATGTGGCCGATAGAACCCTCCCCTCACACTCGTAAACCATTCGATTCGAATCGCGACGAGGAAACTGTAACACGGGAGAAGGAAGTCTGGAAGATGCGGGCGCTAACGGCCAGCCAACTCCTCCGGAGTCACGGCATCTGTTGTCCTGAATTCGATTAAATTGGCCGACACCGTTCCGTAAAATAATTCAAGTAAATTTTATTTACTGCCTCACTGGGTGACTTTCCATAAGCATAAAATATCCCTGAGCCATTTCTGAGGGTGCCAGCGATACCATCAAGTCCTGGGATATTAAAGTTGGCCACCAACAGCCTGCATTCTCATAAGATAGAATAAATAAATCAACCTGGCCTTCATCCTTGGCCAAGGGCCGGAATGAACTCCGAGAGGCAGCGGGAGGCTGCTAGAGTTTCCCTGAGATGAATCGGGAGCCTGGTGGTTCCAAATGAGGGTGAGAGTGGCCGTCCACCACCCAAAACGGTTTATTGCATCTAATATATAATCTATTGGGGGACGTCCTATCCCCCTACAGATTATCATAGGTTCATCTTATATCTTGTACGTTTCCGTGTCTCCCACTTGACGGGGTCCTGGCAGCTGCCTCGGCATCTCGCCGAAATGAACGAAAATAATCCGCACAGACCTTTCTATGCTTGTGGAAAGTCATCCATTACAGAACAGAAATCCTTTACTCTGAATTCAGCTCGAGATCTTGTGTCCACAAAAAACTGGTCAAGCAGTTGGAAGTCGGGTACGGGGAGTCGAACCCCGAGCCACAGTCAGCTACTTGCTCCAAAATTGCACCGCCGTGCACCGTGCACCACACCCGATTCCTACCTGGTTGAATAGATGCTAATAGTGGTCTAGGGTGAATGAATTCACACCTGGTTCAAAAAAAGTCTAAGGGTACGAACCAGTTCCACAAATCCGGAGGTGCTTGGAGCTGGTCCGATGAAAGTGACTAGTTAACATGGGGCGCAGGAGAAGGGCATATAAGGGGGAGAAAAATAAACAGGAATCGAACCACAAAATATTCCAGGCTCGAATATGGAATATGTCAGGCGCGGCAAGCCGAACCCCGGACTGCAATCAGTTTAGATCGGTGACTCGACTAGACTCGACACTCCCAAACAAGACTGCCGTGCACCGTGCACCACACCCAATTCCTAGCTCTAGTACAGAGCTAGATATCCCCACCGGCGTTCCTGTGGGATGTTCGCATGGGACGGCTGAATTATCAGCTGGTTCAACAAATCTCGAGGTACTTGAACACGGTCCGGTTAAATTCGGCTGCGCGCTGCCAAAGAAGATTCAAACTAGAGCAGCGAAGGAATAAGACGAAAGCAGATGGCCAACCAAAAAAATTGGCTGCGCCTGGATGAGGTCGAGTGCGGGGAGTCGAACCCCGGACTGCAATCAGTTTAAACCGTGACGAAACATGCTCAAGGAAGACTGCTGTGCACCGTGCACCACGCCCGATGCCTAGCTCTCATTCAGGGCTGAATATCCCAATAGTGTCCCTGGATTGTGATCCCCCGCACTGCGGGCAAGGAACCAATTCTCAGTTGAACCAGCGGATCCGGACGTCTGTTTACATATCCGTCTGAGTAAATTTGGCCGAGCCTGTGGAGATAAATTAAAAGGGGTGTGCGAAGCTTCTTATGAGGAGGCGAAGGAATTATGAAACCCAAAAAAAAATATGGAACACGATTGGTAGTCGGGTGCGGGGAGTCGAACCCCGGTCTGCAGCCAGTACTTAAAATGTACCGTCTCAAAGAAGACTGCCGTGCACCGTGCACCACACCCGATGCCTATCTTTAGTACAGTGCTGAATATATCCTTACAGTTTTAATGTCGAGTACACGCACTGCAATGGGAGGGATGAATTCCTGGTGAAGCCAAGTGAATTTCTATACGTTCAGAGTGGATTCATTCGCCCGTGCAAAGAGGCATGAGCCTCAAGCAGAGCGCAGGCGGAGACAAGCGAGATGAGCGAGAGAAAAAAGAGCGACTACCTCAATAATTCGGGCGCGGGGAGTCGAACCCCGGACTGCGACGTATCCGATCTCAAACTTCGATCGAATGCCGCCGTGCACCGTGCACCACGCCCGATTGCTAGCTCTAATGCAGGGCTAAATATCCCGACTATTTCCTGTGGGATGATGAACTCCCTCCGGGCACAGCTGAACGCCGTGTAACTTGGAGTCCACAGATCTAGAAGGAAAACGTTCCGCAGATTAAATTCTGCCGAAAGATTAAACTGAGCGTGGATCATCGCAGTAAGAGAAGCGAGAGACGAGGAGGAACAAGCAGAAAAAAATCCACCCCCGTGGACTAGGTCGGCACGGGGAGTCGAACCCCGGTCTGCAATCGGTTTATGTAAACGAACACTTATACTCTCTCAAGGAAGACCGTGGACCACGCCCGATTCTTGGCTCTGGTGCAGGGCTGAATATCCCATTGCCCTTTCTCTTCAAGTTTGTGGGGACTCAACCACTGGGCGGAAATCTCCCAGCCAGGTCCAAAATCTCAAGGGGGTCCGAATTATTAGATATGGCTACGCTGCGGAAGAAGATCGAGCTATGCCTAGAATCCGGAGCGCGCAAGGAGGAAGTAACTGAAAGAAAAAAAACTCTGGGCCATTCGGGTGCGAGGAGTCGAACCCCGGGGCTGCGACGTCATATTTCATTCTCTCGCAAATTTCGAATGGATGCCGTCGTGCACCGTGCACCACGCCCGATGCCTAGCTCTACCTCAAGGGTGAATATACCTAGTCTCCGTCTTCCATCAAACGCGTCCCCGATATCTACCTTCCTCCAGGATGAATATACCTAGTCTCTTCCGTCTTCCATCAAACGCGTCCCAAGTTAAGCGACGCCCGATGCGAGATCAGGTGACCGCGCCGCCACGCACGCGATATGTACGCGTGTTTCGCCCGCACGGCGTCGACCTCATGGGCCCCGCGTGGCGTCCTCGCCTCGCCTTGCCGTACGCTGCGGCCTGCCCCAAAATCGCCTCCTCCCCTCCTCCTCCCTCCGTCCATGTCCCTATCCCCATCTCCATCCAAAACCCCGTCCCCCAGTGCACCATTCCCGTCCCCTTCTTATTCTGTCTGTCTTGCTAACGAAGGCCCGCAGGCCCGCGCCGCTGACCTTAACGAAAATCGCCTCCACTCGATTCGATTCTAGGTTCTAATAACGATCGAGAGCGATTTGGAATTGGGGATGCCGCTGCTCCCGTTCCTCCCCCTGGGCCTGTCCCCGTCTTCCTCCCTCGGCGGCTTCGGCTGGCCGTCCCTCGCGCTTCTCCTCCCACTGCTCGCCCTCCTCGCGCTCCTCGGTTACTTGTACCTCCCGCACGATGCCCTCCGTTCCCGCCTTCCCACCCTCCCTTTTCCCTCCCTGCCCTTTCCATTCCGCGTATTCCCCTGCCTCCCGTACGCCCTCCGTCCATGCTCCCATCCCAATCCCACCGCGCCAATCCCCGGTCTCCGTACTATAGTCTGTCCGTCGTAGCTAACTAACAAACGCGTGTCGCGCAGGCCCGCGCCGCTAACGATTCCGTCCGCGATATCCGCTTAATTCCAGTGCTAGGAAGTTGTAATAACGACCTGTCTTGATACCCGTCGCGCCCCCGCTGAGTCCCAGGCCCTTCCTCCGTTTTGGCTGGCCGTTGGTCGCGCTCCTCCCGCTGCTGCGGATTCCCTCTTGCCGGTTTCTGTTCACGATCCACATAGTTATGCTGAGGATTTAGAAGCGCAACTTGCAAAGCTTTCCTTGAATGATTCGGGAGCCGGACCGGCCTCCAGCGCTTGAACTTGGGCGTCTACGGCTTCCACAGCTTAGCACAGCCTACATAATAGCATACCACCTGTCAGCTACAGCCTGCCACCTACCACGAGCCCTTTCGCCCCGACCCCCACCCACGATGTCCTTCGCCTCGAATGTAAGCCATTTAACTCTCGGCGAGGGTGTTTACAACAATGTCCACGGCAACTACATTGTCCACAACATTTTCTATGGGAGAAAGCGCCATCGCGAAGAGATCGGCGGTCGGTTTTCCCTCGTTCTGCCGGAGAACAGTCATGTTGACTGCTCCTCTGCTCAGATGGACCAGGCTCGTTGTCGATCATGGAACCCACACCTAAGCGTCGCCGTAGGGAAGAGGACTCAGAGGATGGAGTCAAGGTGTGTGAAGCCTACCAACTGTAGAAGCGGCGGGGCTGATCTTATAGCAGGTAATCCGCAACAAAGATCTCAAACTCACTGCTGAGATTGGGAGTGGCCTTGGATACTTCCTTCACGCTGGCGAAACCAAGGGTCGGGCTGTGATTGTCAAGGTCTTCAATCCAGGTCCGATGGTGCGAGAGGTATTCGATTGAAATCCTTTCTTTTCTCTTTCTCATACGCCTCGAAGCATCTGGAATCTACGGTGGCTCTATCGAAAGGATTCATGTGGGAACAATTCCCAATTCTTTCTGCCCAACTGATATGTGTTTGTAGGCATCCAAACGTGCTCCGGATTGAAGGGGTCTCGTCGCCGGCGTCCTTGACTCAATTCATTGCTTATGAAAACGGTTCGCGATTCCAAACACCTTCAGACGGCTTATAACTGAAGACATGTATCCTTAGCCTTCTGGAAGACTGCTGAAGGCCCGCTCGCGGTTGCGCTCAAGGACAATCTTACGAGGAGCATAACCCTGGGGTTCAAAATGGTTTGTGATTGTAATATCTGTGATTTGTCTCTGCTCAGGCAACCTCGCAGATTGCAGGACTATCCGTAAGCCCCATATATTCTCGCTGTTCATGATTTAATGTTTTGCGCCGACTTAAAGGCAGGCATGAATCATCTCATCATTCACGGTGTACGGCTGGCCTCGCTCGGAGTAGAGGTACGTATGTTCCATTTCTTCTCGATCACAACTGGCTGACCATGCCAGAACTTTGACATTTTTCTCGACGTCGACGACCGGTTCTTGATTAGTATCAATCCACACATACCGGCAGAGGCTGGTACCACAAACGGTGAACAGCCAGAGAATAATACCAACAGGTCTTGGGATGTTTTCAATGCGATTTGCCAAAAGGTACCTATTAATCCTCCGGCTTTCTATTTTGGTTAAGAATCCTTGGTCGGGCAGGTTTTGAGGTCCGCCAATCGACTATTGCACGGTAAGTTTTTCTTGCTCCAATCGCTTTTTGCTTTTCTTCATCTCCACCTGCAGACGAGGACATCGATAGAAACCCAGCCTCCATGGAGCCAACCCGGCACCCTTCCGTCCTTCAAAAAATCTCGGTTTTACCACCACTGCAGTCTTCTGAACCCTCGTCCTCAGAAAATATCTTTGAGGGAGAAGCTCCTGTCCCGCCGCGACGCGAGTACGTCTGGCGAACGATAGATCGCGGACAACAGTCTTTAGCCACCATTGGCAATCGAATTGCCCGTGAGCTTGACTTGAAGTTATCGTCCGTCAACAAATTCGCATGGACAGATGACCGAAGTCCGCATCGTTGTGCTGGATACGTCCGCGAAGAAATCACGCTTGCGACCACGGTAGCGGACAGCGCAGTAGTGTCCTTTGATTCACCGAGCCCGCTGGAAATTTGCCCCGTGTGCCGCGAGATCGTCGGTGTTCAGGAAGAGTTTCGGTGCATATGTGGTGACACAAGTATGCACGATTTACTTGATGTGCGCCGACCTAGTATTAATTTGATTCTCGCAGACCCCGGCTCGCGTCCCACAGCCAAATGCCAGGAATGCAAGATTTGGAGCCACATCGACTGTGTCGGGAATTCGAAGGAGTTTATTTGCCAGTTCTGTAGTATTGGCCAGGCCTCCTCAAGTCAGACCGTCCGTACCCGGACCACATCGGAGAACCACATCCCCCGGCCGCCCAATGCCTTCATCCTCTTCCGCTCAGCGTTCTTCGAGAGCCAGCACGTGTCCGCAAAGGTCGAGATGGACCACAGCACGCTCTCCAGGATCATGGGCATGACGTGGATGAACCTCACCCACAATGAGCGCCAGGTCTGGCACCACAAGGCCAAGGACGCCGCTGCCGAGCACAAGCGCACCTTTCCCACCTACGTGTTCCGTCCCAAGTACACCCACGACAGGAAGGACCCCAACGGCGCGCAGCCCAAGAGCGAGTGGAACGTGCCCGAGGTCTCCGTGGACCACCGCCGCTGCGAGAAGATCGCCGAATTGCTCCTCGAGGGCAAGAAGGGCGCCGAGCTCGACAGTGCAATCAAGGAGTTTGACCAGCACCATGTCTCCACCTACGTGCCGCCTATTGCGCTCACCGCGGGCACGTCTTGGGGTTCGCTCACCGCGAGTGCGTCCCCCCAAGACGTGCCTGCGGCACCTCCAGCGATCTCGTACATGAAGCAGGCACCTGGGTCCGTCCTGGATGCCCCGCCCCCCATCTCAGTTCACCAGAACACCGCCGTCGACGTCGGCCCCATTCGCTGGGGCAAGGACATCTCGGGCCAGGTGCGTGGCCTCATCGCGCGCATGGCCCGTGGGAGCACCATCGATGCCGACGCCGTGAAGGGACTCCACGCCAAGAGGTTCCCCAAGAACAATTGGTTCGTCGCCGTGTTCTTCCCCACCAACATCGCCGCGATCCAATTTGTGAACGCGTGGGCCGCTGCACCCGCCCCTGGCTTCGAAAAGGTGTCTGTGTCGTTCGGCTCGCTGTGAGCTCAATTCTTGTCATACAGCTACGCAACTTCTACCGCACTATCTCGCACCTCTATTCAACCCATCTACCACTAATTCATTGGAGGAAGCATCTCGACGGTCAAGTATCCTCGTCAATAGCCATGAGTCTCTTAGCCCACAGACGATCAGAAAGGCACCGAGTGTAAGGAATGCACACCGTCAAATGCAAAATCTTGACCTAGGTCAAGATGTAAGCTGAAAATGTATAAATCGGTAGCACAATGGAAATATTTAGACAATTGATCTTTCCTTTTGTCCGAAACTACAACGGAAGTAGCCACAATCAGCGGCACTTTCAAAACCTAGGAATTTATTCATTGTCTAGGTCAAAACACTGTTTGAAATGGCTGCTGAAAGATGATCTTGCAGCAGTCCTTTGATAATTTGCTGACAATGAATAAATTCCTAGGTTTTGAAAGTGAGGCATGAGCCTCAAGAAGAGCGCAGGCAGAGACAAACGAGAGGAGGAAACTAACTAAAAAGGCATTACAGTCCAACCAGGTCGGATGCGGGGAGTCGAACCCCGAACCCCGAACTGCGGCTGATAAGAGCAACCGCCGTGCACCGTGCACCACATCCGATTCCTACCTCTAACCCACGGCTAATCAAGTACCCAATGGTTTTTTGGGTGAATTCATACATTGGGAGGGATGAATTCCTGTGAAGCCACCAGCTGTCCAAGTGAATTTCTATACGTTCAGAGTGGATTCATTCGCCCGTGCAGAAGCACGAGCCTCAAGAAAGCTGGCGCAGGTAGAGAAACGAGAGGAGCGAGAGAACATTCAAAAAAGAGCGACTATCTCAGCAATTCGGGCGCGGGGAGTCGAACCCCGCACTGCGACGTACATACATCATCCGATCCCAATCTTCGACGGGATGCCGCCGTGCACCGTGCACCACACCCGATTCCTATATCCAATGCAGGCCTGGATACATCGAATAGTTTTATCTAGGTCGGGTATGCGCACTGGGGGCGGTGAATTCTTAGGTGGTTCACAGATTGCAAGGTCTTCATAATTATTAAATTTGGCTGCGCTGGCGGAGGAAGAAGCGAACCTTAAGAAGGGTCGCGCCGGTAGGATCCAAATGATGGGAGCGAAAAAAAAGCACAGGCAGTCATCCAAGTTCGGGCGCGGGGAAGCGAACCGCGGATGTGCGGCTTACTTTATTTCACTGACACCCGCCCAGTTGAATGGGCACCGCTGTGCGCCGTGCACCACACCCGATTCCTATCTTTAGTACAGGGCTGAATATATCCTTACAGTTTCAATGTCGAGGACACGCAATGGGAGGGATGAATTTCTGTGAAGCCAACAGCTGTTAGTCTCCCGTAGTCAGACTCCACAAAGTTTATGACAGTCGATAAAACTTCTAAACAGCTGTCCAAATGAATATCTATATGTTGGGAGTAAATTAATCCGTGTCTGCAGAAGAGGCATGAGCCTCAGGAAAGAGTGCGGACGCAAGAGACAAAAAGGCCAAAGAGAGGGAAAAGGAGTGAGAGGTTCTGAATCAGATCAGTCGGGTGCGGGGAGTCGAACCCCGGTCTGCGGCTTATGCTTTCGGCATCTTCGTATTAGAAGCCGCTGTGCACCGTGCACCACACCCGATTCCTAGCTCTCATTCAGCGCTGAATATCCCTACTGATTCCTGCGGGATGGTGGATTCCCTCACCGCACCGGCGGGCACAGCTGAATGCCGTGTAACTTGGAGCTATGAAAGGAAAACGTTCCGCAGATTAAATTCCGCCGCACCTGTGGAGAAAGATTAAATTGGTGGATAAGCGCAGGAAGAGAAGCGAAAGACGAGGAGGACTCGGAATAACATGGCGGAAAAAACTTTGTCGCTCTGGACAAGGTCGGGCGCGGGGAGTCGAACCCCGGTCTGCAATCGGTTTATGTAAACGAACACTCATACTCTCTCAAGGAAGACTGCCGTGCACCGTGCACCACGCCCGATTCTTGGCTCTGGTGCAGGGCTGAATATCCCATTGCCTTTTCTCTTCAAGTTGGTGAGCTCAACCACTGGGAGTAAATCTAGGTCCAAAATCTCAAGGGGGTCTGAATTATTAAATGCGGCTAGGCTTGGGGGGAAGATCGAACTATGAGGCTAGACGGAGCGCGCAAGGAGGAAGGAACTGAAAGAACAAAATCTCTGGGCCATTCGGGTGCGGGGAATCGAACCCCGATCTGCAGTCAGCTAATGGTCGAATGCGCCAAGAAAGACTGCCGTGCACTGTGCACCATGCCCGATTCCCAGCTCTCACCCAGCGCTGAATATACCCACCGGTTTCCCCTGGGTTGTGATCCCCCGCACTGCGGGCAAGGAACCCCTTCTTGGTTGACCCAACGGATGCGGAGTCTGTTTACATATCCGTCTGAATGAATTTGGCCGGACCTGTGGGGGGAAAAAAACCAAACAAGGGCACAAGGAGCATCGTAGGCGGAGAAGGAATTATGAAACCGAAAAAAAAAAAGTCTAACGCAAGAGGAGATCGGGTGCGGGGAGTCGAACCCCGGCCTGCAGTCCGCTTAATGCGTAATACCTTTGCCCAAGGAAGACTGCCGTGCACCGTGCACCACACCCGATTCCTATCTTCAGTTCGGAGTTGAATAGAACTCCCTGGGCTCAGTTCATCTACGCTCATACTCAGGCCATAGAATAAATGCTTAGGTGACCGAACGGATCCGGAGTCTGTCGACATACATATCCGTCTGAGTAAATTTGGCCGGACCGGTGGAGAAAGATTTGAAAGGGGTGCACGGAGCTTCGTAGGAGGAGGAGACCCCCAAAAAAACATCTGGAACAACTGAGTCGGGTGCGGGGAGTCGAACCCCGGTCTGCGGCTTAGAACTAACTGCAAAGCCATGGTAATGGAAGTCGCCGTGCGCCGTGCACCACGCCCGATTCCTAGCGCTGGTGCGGGGCTGAATATACCTTATAATTGTCTGGGTTGTGTTCGCTCAGAAAGGAGGCATGAATTATCAGCTGTTGCAAAAGAATCTGGGGCTGGCGGCAGCCTGATAAAAATGGGCCCAGCTGGCGCCAGAAAAATAGGCCGGAGCGTAGAATGCGGAATGCGCAAGGAGCAACTGATAATTGAAAGAAAAAGACTTTGAAGGATGCGGAAGATCGGGTGCGGGGAGTCGAACCCCGGGCTGCGACGCATAACATTCTATCACGGATCTTTGATTGGATGTCGCCGTGCACCGTGCACCACGCCCGATGCCCAGCTCTACTTCAAAGGTGAATATACCTAGTCTCCTCCCTCTTCCATCAGACGCGTCCTTGGTTAAGCGACCCCGTGACCGCGCCGCCACGCACGCGATATGTACGCGTGTTTCGCCCGCACGGCGTCGACCTCATGGGCCCCGCGTGGTCGCCTCGCCTCGCCTTGCCGTCCGCTGCGGCCTGCCCCAAAATCGCGTCTTTCCCTCCTTCCTCCGTCCATGTTCCTATCCCCATCTCCATCCAAAACCCCGTCCCCCAGTGCGCCATCCCCAGTCCCCTTCTTATTCTGTCTGTCTTGCTAACGAAGGCGCGCAGGCCCGCGCCGCTGACGAACGAAGATACCCCCGCTCGATTCCATTCCAGTTCCAGGAAGCTCTAGTAATAACGATTGGCGGGATGCCGCTGCTCCCGTTCCTCCCTCTGGGCCTGTCACCCTCTTCCTCCCTCGGCTTCGGCTGGCCGTCGCTGGCGCTGCTCCTCCCGCTATTCGCCCTCGTCGCCCTCGTCGGCTACGTGTACCTCCCGCCCGCCGCCCTCCGGTCCCTTTCCCGCTTCCCCGCCCTCCCCATCCCCTCGCTTCCCTTCCCATTCCGCGTATTCCCCTGCCCTCCCCGCCCCACGGCGACGGACGGCCTGCCCACCGCGCGGAGCACCGGCGTCCCGCCGCCGCCGCCGCCGCTCCGCGGGCGGGGGCGTGGGCGCACCAAGCCCGCCGGTGCGCGCACGTTCTTGGGGCTGGGGCTGGGGAAGGGGCGGCGCGCGAAGAGCCTCGGCCCCGTCCTCCCGCGCTTCCGGCGCGACCTGCACGTCCCCGCCCCCGCCGCCGCCGCCGCCACGCGCTCGCTCGGCGACGCGGGCGTCCCGCTCGCGGACCTCACCGGCAGCTGGGGCAGCCTCTCGAGCGTCTCGTCTGCCTCCGGTTCCGCGTCGACGCATGCACCGGGGTGGGACGCGCAGGACGTGCTGGTCGACGTCGAGCTGGAGCTGGAGCTGGTGGACGTGTCGGTGCCGCCGTCGCCCGCCGCGTGGGCGCGCGCGCACCCCGCTACTTCGATGCCTGCGAGCCCGATGGGCGTTCTGTCTCCCCAGCCTGCGTCGCTGTCGTTCCCCCGCGAGCCCACCGCCGACGCCCCTGCTATGACTCCGACTCCGACTCCGAATCCCTACGCGCCCCGCGCCGCCTCGCCCGTCTACTCCACTGAAGCTATGAATCCCCATGCGCTCGAGATGCGCGCGCTCTCCGCACCCGCCTCTCCGCCCCCACGACCCTTCTCCCCGCAGCCGCGCGCCTTCTCCCCGCCGCCGCGCGCCTTCTCGCCCCTCCACACTACTGAAGCTATGAATCCCCATGCATTTGAGATGACCCCGCGCGCGTTCTCCCCGCCGCCACGGCCCTTCTCCCCCATGCACGCTACTATCAACGCTATGAACGCCCGCCCCGTCTCCCCGCCTCCACGCGCCTTCTCTCCGCGGCGCACGCACACGCACCTCCCCTCCCCCCCGCTCTCCCCCCCGCCCCCCGCGCGCGCCGTTTCGCCGCCCCCTCCCCGCGCGGCGGCGTACGTGGCTCGGGCCTCGCCTCCGCCGTCGTTTGTCGACCTCCCTGCGGACGCTGAGCGAGATCCGGAGGCGCAGGCGCAGGAGGAAGAGGCGCAGGCGCTCCCGGCGTACGTTCATGATGACGCGGCTGGGGAAGCGCCGCCGTTTGAGGACGAGCCCGCGCCGCCGCCGTTCGATGACACCGAGGCCGAGGACGCAGCGCCGCCGCCTGCCTTCGCCGCCGATGTCCCCGCTCAAGACGTCGATATCCCCGCTCTGGACCTCGAGCCGCAGATCCCGGACCTCGAGGAAGACGCCGAGGAGCTCCCGTCGGCGCGCGCGATCGATGTGGTGGTGGGCGGGATGCACGCGCACGCTTCCTCTCCCACACCACCTGCCTTCGACCCTGCGCACGCCGTTCCTGGGCTGCATGTGGAGGAAGAAGCGGACGCGGAGGCGCAGATCCCGGACCTCGAGGACGAAAATGGGGAGGAAGAAGACCTCCCCTCCGCGCGCGCGATCGATGTGGTCTTGGGGGGGATGCACACTTCTTTCCCCTTCCCCTTGCCCGCGGACGGCGACTTGGAGGCGCAGATCCCGGACCTCGAGGACGAAAATGGGGAGGAAGAAGACCTCCCCTCCGCGCGCGCGATCGACGCAGTGGTGGGCGGGATCCACGCCCGCGCGTGGCCGTGGGAGGCTGCGGGGGCTGAAGAAGAAGACCTCCCCTCCGCACGCGCGATCGACGCCGTCGTGGGCGGGATCCACGCCCGCGCGTGGCCGTGGGACGCTGCGGCGGCGGGAGTGCCGGCGTACGACGAGCAAGCGGGTGGGGATGTGGAGACTCGGGAAGGCGGCGTCGAGGTGCAGGTGGAGGAGGGCGTGCCGGCGTACGAGGCGCAGCGCACCGCCGAGCCCGCCCAGGACGTGCGCGAGCCGCTCGCTGCGCAGGACGTCGAGGCTGTGCTGCGTGCCCTCGACGCCGCGCCCGCTCCTGCTCCCCCGCTGCGCCTCTTCCCCGATCTCGACTCCGACGATGTAGACGCCGAGCCCCCGGATATGGACGAGGAGGAGAGCAGCGAGCATGCGTGGGAGGGCGCGGTGCTCGAGCTGGAGGGGAGCCCGCTGGCTGGATT